TCTTGTTAGTATAGCTAACGACTTTTAATTTTTTTAAACATAAATGTGATATTAATTTATTCATGTAATCGAATTCAAACGGTTGTCTTTTCTTTACGATAATTTTATACCATGTTTTGTCAAAATTAAAAGTGAATAATGGTTGTTCAATCATAATTATAATTATAATACGCAATAGTAATAACTATAGGGCCCCACAAGTGGCCACTTGTGGCATAAAAATTCTTATTTAACTATAATTAATAGACGGATTTCGACTCCGGCCAATAAGAGAGAAGTATTATTTGACGGCGTTGTGTTAAAAGACGGAAACACTTACTGCGCTCCGAAAAAAATATATATATTCACGGGTTTTCTGTGACACGTAGATCCTCTCCTTTTTTTAATACTCCATCTTTATTTCAAATTTATTTCTTTTTTAAATTAGAAAAAAAAACAGAAAAATATTTATGTTAAATTTATGCCGACATTTTTATGTCTGCTATTTCGACGTCATAATGGGAGAACATTTTAATTATATTTTTAAATATTAAAATGACCCAGTAATGTAATTTAATATTTAAAATAAATTTCAAACTTGTTTTAAGAGTATAGATAGTGTTAATTTAATACTTCAAATAAAATCCAAACTTTTAAGTATTTAATAAATATATATTTCTCTATCGGTTTAATTCATTTATTTGTCAAAATGGCCCAATTCGTACTTTGAATTCCTTAAACTCTCTCTTGAGAAATTAAGGATCATCGTCACGTTTTTGTTTGAAATCAAGTATCATTGTTTCCACGTTTTATTTTAGATCTAAGTTGCACACAGAAGTCGCTAGTATTCAACCTCGAATCAGTTGTTAAGTCCTCAACACTAGTTTTTTCAAAAGATTGGTGGCACCATCTGTTAAATTAGTTTAAATATTAAAATGACTGTTGCAACCTAGTCCTTTGTGTGAAAAAGTCGTCTAAGTCTATGATTGGTAATTTTAAAAAATTATTTTTAATTAAATTAAATTTTATTAAAAAAAAATATATGTCAATTATCGTATGGGGTGGATAAGGAGATGATTTGGGCTAAATCATCTCTCGGGATTGAACTTAATCATGTCTTAAACTTTAATTATCCACAAACAGGAATAATTAAAGGCTGACTTCGTTTAATATTTGACTTCAAATCCATAAAAATATAATAATAATACATTTTTTTTAATAATACCAACTCCTTTTCCTTTTTTTTTTTTTTTCCTAATATATTATTTTCGTTAAGACAAGTGGACATTATTTAAAATAATATAGAATTGATAAATAAATATTAAACTGATTTATATAATTAATTAAAAAGAAGATTATTTGAAAAAAAAAAAGTCAAATAATGATAATTATTTAATTTTATCTCTTAAAATTTGAAACCTTAATCAAAAGCAAACCCTGTGATCATCAGTCGCTCACTATCTCTCCGACCTTTTGTTGGGCCCATGTCTTCCTTCAAACTCCCTCCATTATTAAATGAATCTCCTCTTCCTTCAATCTTCGCCAATTCCTTCTTCACTTTCAAATCCCCATGGCTTCCGATTCCACTTTCTGGCTTCCCCCCCACTTTCTATCAGATCACCACACACTCCCCGGAAAACCCATCTCCGCTCTTCATTCTCCCCTTCAATCTGACCTTCTGAACGACGACGATCAGGAAGACTTTCTTGCCGGCTTGACGCAACGCCTTACTCACTCCACCCTTCGTGATCGTCACAAACTTGTCTCTCTCCACGAATTCGAAGTACCCATCTCTTTAATTTTTTGATTGATTCGATTTTTGTGATGGGTTTCTGATTTTCCGGTGGCTCTGTTTTTTTTTTTCAGGCGAAGACTGGATCTCCTCAGTCTACTCTTAGTGGGTTTGGGAGTTGGTCGGCTTGGAGTTCGGTGTCCAGCGAAGGCAGCCCAAACGGGCCATCTCTGGCGCCGTCGCCGCCGGTAACCCCTTATGGCAGCGATGACAACACTTGGGATCTTATTTATGCTGCTGCGAAACAAGTTGCTAGGCTCAAAGTGAACAATAGCAGAGATGGGGTTATTGGTCCTTCACAAATTTCGTCCAATCTTGTTTCTTCTGTCAAAGACGTTGGATTTTACTCCCACGCTTCGCAGGTGAAGTTCATTAGCTTCGGTTTTTCACTCCCCTGTTCTCTGTTTTGCTGTGTTTTTCGATCTGGAGTTGTTCGACTCTGTTTTTTATTTTCCTCTGTTTCAGTTCGGAACAGAGCTTCCGATTCGTAAACCGGAGAGCAGTGTCAACTGGGGAAGACAAATGAAGGCAGAGAATCAGCGGATCCATTGCGGAGGCGGAGATTTTCATCATGAAAATGGGGTAATTGTTGTTCGTCCTGTAGATTTTTCTCAATCCACATGGTCATCTATGCAACGCAATCACCAAAGAAACCCTTCTCAGTCGTGTGCTCCAGCCGTGCCCTCCACCTTCCATGGAGGAGGATCTGCCCCCAAAAAGGAATGCGCCGGAACGGGTGTCTTCTTGCCTCGTCGATACGACAACAACCCACCACAACCTCGCAAAAGAGCAGGTACTTTTAACAAATTGCAGACTTGGGTTCCTCAAATTTGAACATGAATTTTAATATTTGCTCTGTTCCTTCAGATTATGGCTCGATTGCTATGTTACCAAGGAGAAACGTACAGGACATGAACCGATCTGTTCCCCAAATGACGTCAAATCGCCAGAGCCAGGGTAAGCTCGTTGAAACGATTCACCAATCTGGAGATCTGTTATATAGTAGTTTCCTAATAGCTTTTAATTTTGGTTTCGCAGAAGCTATAATGGCTCAAAGAAACGCCATTTTCGCAGAGCAGAGGCTAAGCTATTCCCGGCCGGCTGAGAGAGGCAAAAGCTATGAGTTTCTTCTTCCTCAGGAGTGGACATACTGAATTAACACTTGTGAAATCTGAATGTAGTTCAAGTGTTTTTTTAGATTAGTGAACTATAAAGAAATGAACTAAGGGTTGTAATTTAAGAAGGGAAAAGGGATTTGTTTGCAGGATTTTAGTTACCAGTTAAATTTTTATAGATGAAGAACAGAGTATGCAGTGTTCATCATTCATCAGACAGCGGGGAAAGAGAAAAGGATATTTATTGAACAATGGGGTTTTAGGAAACGAGTGAAAGAGAGATTGTAATAATTTTTGTGGGTTTGTTAATTGAAATACATAGCTATAGCTATTAACCCTTCTAAGATTAATAAATTATTTGTCGATTTATCATTAGAAGCAGAGTTTATTCCACTGAATTTTCAATTTTATGAACCTTAAACTTGAACCAAACTTGAACCTAATATACTCTTAACCAAGAGGTCGAAGATTCGGGCCTCCTCATCTCCATTTGCATAATCCATCAGATAAAACATATATTACTTTCAATAAGGTCAAAAGTTCCAACATTCTATTACGTTAAAAATAAAACATATATTACTTTCAATAAGGTCAAAAGTTCCAACATTCTATAACGTTAAAAGTGCAATCGTAATCCCCACAACTCTTGAATTCCAAAAGAAAAAAGAACCATATCATTTTCACATCAGATATTCATGGAAGACTACATTACAAATTAAAGTCGAACACTATTCTAAAGATAGGGACTAATAAAGATACACTCGTTTGTTAATCTAGGCATAGTTCAGTGGTTAATGAGACAAAAACCGATGAGCCTCACGACTAATCTCAATGATACTAACTTCTAGTGAGTGTTCGAGATACTTTGTGCATACTTCTATCAATCTTAGATAATTGCCTAAGTTGCTAAGAAACTTGCAGAATATTAAATGTTAGGTAGGTGGTCATGCCCATACCATCTGTCCATGCCAACCGTATGTTTTATGAATAGTTTTTTGTCGGAGAAATGGGACTGTCCTCAGTACTTAAACAGGAATGGCATCCATTTCAATCTGGATCTAGGATGTTGTTTCAAATTTCATGGAATGGATCTAAACTAATGAACAATTATGCAGTAAAGCATTGCAAGAACATCAAAATCTAGTTTATATAATTAAGACTGTATCAAAATCTTCTGCTGCTGTCCTTAAAGGCTATTCACACTACTTGGTGCAACTCAACCATAATATCTACTCTTCACGACCAACAAAAGTATGATATTATGTCATCTATTTAGTTAGTTGGGATTGTTCAAATCTATCTTGCCTAACTATACCCACTCCACTTTTCTTTCTTTTTTTTTTTCCCATGATCCTAGCAGTGATTTGACCAAAAGCTTGTCTACAATTGATGCTTCAGAATGAAGATTTAAAGCTTGATGTGAAATTTACTCAACCTTCACTATACCTTTTCTACTGTTTCCATACGTAGGCAAAAGCAAAAGATGTGCAAATCTTATCTGATTCCTCAAACGAGTAGTTCATCCCCATGAAATCTACTTGATTCTGACTCCGTTAGCTGCTTTGTTCTATATACCTGTGAGGTCCTACATTAGTTAGGGAAGAGAACGAAACATTTTTTATAAGAGTGTGAAAATCTCTCCTTAGCAGAGATGCGTTTTAAAAACCTTGAGGAGAAATCCGAAAGGGAAAGCCCAAAGAAGACAATATCTACTAGCGGTGGGCTTGAGATGTTACACATAGTATCAAAGCTAGACACTGGACGATGTGCCGGCGATGAGGCTGAGCCTTGAAAGGGGGTGGGCACAAGGCAATGCGCCAGCAAGGACGCTTGGCCCTGAAGAGGGGTGGATTGAGGAGTCCCACGTCGATTAGAGAAGGAAACGAATGTTAGCGAGGACGCTGGGCCCCGTAAAATGGTTGAGGAGGAGAACGAAACATTTTTTATAAGGGTGTGGAAACCTCTTCCTAGCAAACGCGTTTTAGAAACCTTGAAGGGAAGCTCGAAAGGGAAAGCCCAAAGAGGACAACATTTGCTAGCGGTGGGCTTGTGCTCTTACAATACCTCAAGCTAAAAGAGAACCATGGTTCTAGAAAACAAACTTGCTCCAAACGTGATAGATAAATTCCTTGATTAACATATACACTACCTTTTTCATATCATATTAATATATTACAGTGTTTGCATTATCTCTGTTACTACTGCTAAGATGTTCAAATAGAACAGAGGAGAAAAATAGACTGCAAATTAACTTCCAGACTGCCAATAGAACGCATATAATTAACGGCAATTGGTAGATAAATACCTTGTGAGCTAATCCATGTTGAAGTTCAGGAGTCTCTGCCCTTCAATAGTTTGAGCCACAAATCTTTTCTTTCAGTTTGGTTCATTTATCATCTTCATCCCATCCATCTCTTCTCACTCTAACCCTCTCACTCTTGAAATGTATGTATTTCCATTTGCAGCCATATCTTTTATAGACCGTTTTCCCGTTTTCTTCTTGACCTAGTTTTCGAAAGGCGTGGGCTACTCTTCTAACTGTGTCTTCATCTGGCCTTACTCCCAACTCCTCCATGTCTGCAAATATCTGTACCAAGAGATGGAAAAAATTGAAGCAGGTCATTGATATGGTATGAAGAGAAGATTGCATAGGGTGGTACAAGCGAGATGTGAGAGTCCCCATTCCCAATACCTCAATAATCTTATCTTGCAAGTCATGATGGTCATACAAAGCGATCATCCTAGAAAACAGTCGTTTAGAGATGGAACGAGTATGTGCATGCAAAATCATGTTCCATAAAGATTCGGCCTCATCCACCCTCTTGTCCATATCAAATGCCAGAAGAAGAGTGTCATAGGTACCCATTGTGGCACCTTGACCCTTGCTTAGCATCCACTTTGCCACCTGAGTAATAAGAAGCATTGATTGTATACAGAAACCTCTTCATAAATATTTATAAGCTCAAACTTTACAACGGAAAAGGAAGAACTTTAAGCAACCAACATAGGCAAAAGACAACAGATTTTCTTCTTCCAACCTTTCTTGTTAATCTGAGATTATCTTTTTAAATTTGAATCTTCCCTAATCGAAGGGTTCCAACGTCAACCCCTCCACCCATTCAAACCAGTGAGAACCCCCACTCAGGTCACGAGCCCATGTTACCGAACTAGGCTAATCAGAGATGATCCTTTCACATGCCAATCGCACAAGTAATTTGCAAGTCCAACACTGAGGTTTCCAATGCCAGAAGTAGTTCGGTGTTATATTTCGACAAACATTTTTCTCAAAGATAAGAACTCATTGTTGTTTCATCATTCCCAATTATGGAACCAACAACCATGAGTTCTCTGTCCATAAAGCTAAATCTAAAACAGGAATAATAAAATTTGATGTATCAACCACATCCGAAGTGTTGTCTTGTTTCTTGAGTCATATTTTAAGCACAAAGAAGTCTAAATGACCAAGTTTCAAGATCAAACTTCAATATAAAAACTGAACAAACCACAACTTATCAAATAAGTGCAAAACTAACAATCGGACATTCCAACACTTGTTGGACACATATCGAACACTTGTTAGCACAATAGCTATGAGCTAGATGTCACAACCCCGTGACACTAGACACTAATTGTACAAAGACAATATAAGTCCAACATTTTGTAAGACAAACAATTATTAAGTATATTAAATACATACATAAAAATTTAGGACAATGAGTAGGAGTATACTTATTCATACTTGAATGACACGCTTCCATTGACTTCTCTTCCTCAGTATTCTTAAAGCTTTAGAAGCTGCAATCAATGGAAACTCCGTCTCCCAAGCTATCCACTTATTCAATTCTCCATATACAGCTTCTTTCTCATTGGGGCATTGGGAAACCTACAAGATGTTAAATATTCCCATTGTTTCCTCTCAATATTAGAAAGGCACTAAGAGAGAAGATTCAACGAAATGCAGCTTACAATTCTAACAAGATTCAGAGCTTTTTGGCCAGAGCCAGCAGAATCTCTTTTCTTCCATAAATGGTGGGCCTCCTTCCCAACCTTCTTCTTAACAATACGTCTATATTTAATCAAAGCAACATCAAAATCAAAGTTATGGAGTTGAAAGCAAAATCAGAAAGCAATATTAGAGAAGAAAAACAAGAACACCTCTCAGCTGTGGTGGAACTTGTAAGCGACTGCGCAGCTTGCTTGTGGACACACTTGACACTGGCAGCTCTAAATGCCAATTTGTTGTAATTGTAAATGCAAACTTTCTTCAAGGGAAAGGGGAAAATTATGGGATTAAACATTTAGATATTGTTGAAACGAGATTGGCGAAGTTGGAAGTTTCCTGCTTACCTTCGGCACGAGGGCATCGAACCCAGTTGAGCTTCCACGGTAAGCAAGCATCAGATTTTTCAAATTTCAGCGCTTAACGTATTGGGTATTAAGTATAATAAAGAAATTGAGCTATGGCCGAAGGGGTTGATTCATTCAGGATAAAGAAGGGCTCTACGGCTGAGAACATATGCGAAACAACAACAGGAATTAAACAAAGCGCACCGAAACTCTACCTGCAGCTGCAGAAGCTTTGGATGATGATCGTTCTTTGGGGAACGAACGAAACGGAAAAATGGAGCTAGCGGGTAGTGCCTTATCTTAGAGACAACCCAGGGAGAATTGGGCTGATTTAATTGAAGAAGGACCATGAATTGAGCTGATTCAATTGTATTGGGGCTCGATTTGAATGTTCTTTACAAATGACCTGTCCATGTATTTGTCAATCTCCGGGCTCAAAATATGTAGGCCTAAACTTCAAATAGTCCAACTTCATGCTCTTCATGATCAACTTTAACTATTTCTTTTGGTAGTAAATATTATTAGCTTTAGTCCATTATCTAGCGTTATCAACCTCACATTTTTAAAAGGAGTCTATTATAGAGAGGGTCTAACCCTTTTTCCACCGATGTCTTGTATCATTTAGTGACTGGCTCTAATATCGATTGTAATGGCCTAAAATCCACCGCTAACCGATACTATCTGCTTTAGCCCTCGACTTATGGTTTTAAACACATGTCTATAAAAGAAAGAAAAATAAAACATTTTTTTTGTAAACATTTAAACGTAGTTGTGTTTATAAAAATCACTCTTGAAATTAAAATAGTAATAATATTTTAATAATTAGCTCAAGATCTTATTAAACATTTAAATCGTAGTTGTGTTTATTGAGATATTACATATTAATTAGAAACTTTATTACATCAAACATAAATGTTTAGGAAGGTTTTTATTGTTTCATAAAGATTGAAGCTTCATGAATTTATCTACGGAACCACGACTCTCTACAATGACATTATAGAATATTGTTTATACCAATTTTACTAATTTATAAGTTTACTAATTTTCAGTGTTGGGGCAGTTGAAGAATGTGAACTGTTCATGGCATTTTAACATTAAAAGGCATCGATTCCTGTCTGTTTTTTGTTCGTCCCATGAATGTGGGTTTTGTCTTTAACTTATTTGTTTCTACTTTATTACAACCATATTGTTGTTCATTTTCACGTGCGGTTGACGTTGCCTACATGTAGAAACGCTGTAATTTTCTTCACCTTTCTATCTACCAAAGCATGAATAAATAAACATGAATTTCATCAATATTGTATATCACAATCACAAGAGCAGGGATTGTTTCTCCAGGTAATATTATATATGGACGCGTCCACTCCGAGTTTTCTATTATTATTATTATTATTATTATTTTGTTGGTTTTCGGTAGCATCAGCATGCACTAACTATAACGTATACAAGTTCATCTGGTGGATTTGTATCGTATATGGGTTGAATTCATAATTGATAAATATATTGTCACAATCTTTTCAGATTTGTGGTTTCTATTCCAATCCCATATTGCAATGTTATTTAATGGCTAGAAGACTACGAAAATTCTTTTCTAGCATTCCACATTCAGAATTCTTAATTATAATAAATTTTTTGAATATATTCTCTGCCTTAATTAAATATCAAACCCGTGTTTATAGTTGTTTTGGAAGAAAAAAAGATTTATTAATCCAGAGAGGGTTGGTTGATAGCCATGACAAAGATTCACTGACCATCTCCATAGAACATAAACGTGTAAATATGTTGCACAACGTTTCATGTTTCTTTGCAGCATTGTTGTTTATTTACGAAAGCAAACTCTGATGAAAAGACCAGCTTCATGCGCTATGTTTAGACACGATGTTGAGCAATACATCTTTCTTTGCGCCCACGAACTTGTCCACCAACTGTCCGTTCTTGAAGAATTGAAACGATGGAAGGGCGCCCACTCCTAACTCATTGGCCACACTCTACAATGATAATCACAGTTATTGTCACGGTCGTTGCGTCCTAGAAGTAAGTGAATTTCTCAGATCAGAGAGTTTCGAACATACCATGAGTTTATCAACATCGACTTTCAAGAATGTCACGTTATTACACGATTTCTTTGCTAGCTCGTCGAGCACTGGTGCCATGGCACGACACGGGCGGCACCATGTTGCAGTGAAATTGACAACCAGCTGTTGAAAAGAATACTAGAATGAGATTTGTTGTATGCGTGGTGAAAAGAGAAAGGAAGGAAAAAAGTGTACCAGTTTGTTGTGTTGTTTGGCTTTGAGGAACTGTTGCTTCCATGAGCCAACTGTGGGGCAAGAAACCACTTTCCCCATGTCCGCCATTGCAGTCTTTTACAGAAGAAAAGGACAAGGAAAGGGAAAAGGAAGAAGAAATGGGAACTGTGTATTAAACTGAATGGAGAGTTGAGAGCTGAGAGGGTGAATTTATAGGAGTTGAAGAGGAGGGGAAATTAAGAAATAGCGATGTGGGACTCGAGAATTTCAGGACCACGCAGCTCTGGAAAGCATCATTCGCCAGTTTCGTAGTTTATGTATAAATATTTCAAATGCTTTACTCGTTTCCCCATTTTTTTATACATTGAATGGGTATTGTTTGTTTGACTTCTTTTATGTATTTCAAAGTGTTCTTCACCTTTATAAAGAAAGAGAAAGAATATGTCCCTTCTCTCTTTAATCTTCTTCTGTTTGCTTCCCCTCTACTCTGGCTAAAGAATATTTCGATACATTCTTTATAAAGGTGTAAAAACCATTCGTTAGTTAGCCGATGCATCTTAAAACTTTCAAAAGAAGCTTAGAAGAAGAATCCAAATAGAACCATATTTTGATAGTAATGAATTTAGACTATTACAAATGATATCAAAATCAGACATCGAACTCAAGAGGGTGAATGAGATCCCAAGAAAGATAAATATGTCACGCTGGAATTTAAAGAAGGTAGATGGTGAGATGTGAAAGAAGAGCGTATGTGGTGGACTCTAAAGGATTGGGTTACAACCAAACTCTTGTTGATGTTTACAAAGCTATAGACATTGCAGAAGACACCGACAGGACTCATTTTGGAGGGTTCATTAAACACCATTCATATATGAAACGATCCAAACATGGAAATTGAAATGGATGAATTGCAGGAAACGATCGGTTGCGTTTCTGGCATTTAAAAGCAAGGAACAGAGTGTTGCGGTGGTTGTCGATGGATTTGGAGCGACTCTGAAGAATAGTGGAGGCCCAGTAGATTGTTGGAAGTTAATAACGTTTCATTTTGGCCTACACTGTGACCCTTTATTGCTTCCAAGAAGGTGTGTGTAATAAGGGGCAGAATGATGGGGAAACGTGGCCTCCCATGCCTCTCACTAATGGAAGACTTTCCTCCTCCCAAAAACGTGATCATTTCTTTTCAAACACTCCCAGACATGCACCAAATTTGTCACACCCCCACCATATTATAAAATATTTATTCAAATAATTAACCCTTGCTTTTCATCATATGTTCAATTTTTGCATTTTAATCATAAAGTTTAGGCATTTCAACAACATGGGTCCAAACCTTCCTTAACCTACATAAAATATTTCAAGACATGAACCACCCAAAAACAAAATCATATTCGTCGTCGTCCTTGAAGCTCCTTTGTGTGCTTTGATAATGAGACATCTTCATTGAAATAACTTAAGTTCACCGCTAATAGATATTGTTCATTTTAGTCCATTATGTATCACTGTTAGTTTTATGATTTAAAAAAGCGTCTATTAGGAAGAGGTTTCACATTTTAACTAACGTGAGATTTTACATTCATCTTTCAAATAATATTCTATTATAAAAGTTCATGAAAAATTAGGGTTTCATGAACTTCTCGTACATTACAAACTCAAATAAACACAGAAATCTGCGGAGTGAAAAAGTTATTGTTAGATGGGACGTTAACGAAAGGAGAGTTTACCCGTAAATTATTGAAGATAAAGGAGAGCGTAATGAAAGGTGTGGAGGGCATGTGAGAAAAGGGATCAAAATGGGAAGGAGAAGAGCCCATATCACATTTGAGAGTTGGGGGGTCAAGTGCTTTAGAACATAAGAAAATACCCTTTCTTTTTCTTTGCCTTTTGCACCTCTTTATGGTATTGGATTCCCTTTGCCTTTTGCTCTCTCAAAATTTTAAAGAACTTTAAAATTTTCTATTTTTTTTTTTTAATTCATAATTCATTACTTGTAATAACAACATAGTATGAAAAAAAATTAAAATTTTGTGTTTATAATTTGATAAATACAAATCTCATTACTCGACCGACCAAACACTTTTAGGTTAAGAAATCAGATCTAGATCTCGACTCGTCCAATTTAAAAAACAAACATACAAATCTATATCAAAAAAGGTAAGCAGTGGAAGAGAAGGGGGGAACGTACTTGAGATGCAAAAGCTTTGATGGGGTTGCCGGAAAGTTTGGGATGGGGGGAGCGGCGAGACGGCGGAGTGCGGTGGAGGGTAAAGGGGGTTGAAATTAAAGGAACTACCTAAAGGAGGAATCCGAAGGGATAGCATGATCCAAAATTATATGTAGAAGAAGCTGTAAGTATATATGTGTGTATGTATATATATATATNTTTATGTATATATATATATATATTTATATGTACATTTAATAAATATGAAACATACGCTAGAGATTAAATTTTCAAATATTTTTTCAATGGTTTGTCTTATACATTAATAAGTTTAATTTATGTAATTATGAAACGTTTAGATAGTTTATGTATGATTATGTTAAAAATAATAATATATTTTTAAAAAAAATGAGGTTTTTGTATTTTTAAAAATAAAATTAATTTGTGAAAGGGGATGTATATGTGGTCCAATAACTTGTGTGTGTTGGTTTGATAGTTTGTGATAAGGGCAAAAACACATTCCCCTCATAGTACACCTTTTTGGTTCATCCAAAGTTATAGTTGAAGAGACAGGTAGAATCTAACCAAACAAAATTACATCTATTTTTTATTTACTTCTTTTTAATATAGTTTTTATGAATTTTTTTATTGATTCTCAACTTAATTTATTTCAAAATCATTTAATTTGTTGGAGGCTCCTCTATTATCTAATATCTGTCATACATGTAATAATATAAGAGTGACTATGACATCACATCAATTCGTTTAATGATTTATGAATCGGTTTATATGTCTATATTATTGGATGAAAGTATTGTATCGGTTAATTTAGGAAATGATCATGAATTCGTAATGAAAGAATACTCTCTTCATTGGTATGAGACTGTTTGGGAAAGCTCGAAGCAAAGCCACGAGAGCTTGCGCTTAAAGTGGACAATATCATATTATTGTGGAGAGTTCAAAGTGTGCGTGCAAAGATGTGGGAGGAGGGAGAAGAACGAGGTGGCCAACATGGGGGCGACAAAGAAGGGGCGGATGGGGTTGATGGGGGGTTTTGAAAGCTTCCTCCATAATGCAGAATGGTGGGTAGCTTATAAATGGTGCACATGGAAAGGTACCCCCTCACCCGCTACCACCCTAATCTTAGCTCTGCTCATGCTCATGCTCATTTTTTCTATCGCCTTTGAAAAAGACTCGATTTTTATGATGCCCTTTTAGAATTACTCGGAGTTCAAACCCAGAAATGTGGGGATTGGTGGTGGGAGGGATGAGTTTTCACTGTCACAAACACAGTTCCAAAAGAAGAAGCTTGAATCAGGAGCGTTGGATTGGTGGGGCATAGGGTGAAGAATCCTATGAGGGGTTTCTTCTTCTTCTTCTTCTTCTTCTTCTTGTTGTCGTCGTTCTTGAGAGATCATGATGTATGGTGCTAGATCTTGTCCACACTAGTGAAGCAAATTGGACCACGAACCCAGAGTGCAGGCTTTTGCAAACAAATGGGTGCTATTCTATTAACACCCCACACCCCCACAATACCCCACATAATATAATAATGCAATATCAACCCAAACAAACCAAGTGGGGTCAGTTTTGTGGTTGCCTTATACTGCACCTGTGCTCATCAGGAACCAAACCCAGGGTGGGTTTGGTTTTTGCTCTCATTATTGGCCCATTCATGTTCCTCATTTTCCGGACAAATTGTGTTATTTCTTCTCAGGCCTTGTAACCCAATTGGTGGTGCATAAAGGACCATCAATCTTTGCACCTCCCACTACCCCCTTTCTCTTTCCATCTTTCCTTTTATCTCCTTTTATCTCCAAGGCTCAAAATGATGTTTTCTATAATTTTATGGTTAGAACATCAAGATCAATCCTAAAATCATATCTCCCGAGTCCAAATTTTCTCACTTTTCAATACTCGTATAGCGAAGATATTTGAATTGAGACAAGAATTCAAATCATACATCTATCCATGCTAATATTAATGTATGATTAAGTGATTGAACAATTGTTGATTTAGTGGACCAGTGTACAACGATAAAAGACAATTAATTCGAGTGGTACACCTTTAATATTTAGATGTAGGACATTTAGACCACAACTTATATTGGTTGGGTGCATCGTCCTGAGTTAGTCGCGGAGTTTGTTAATATTGGACTAGTTGCTACCATGCTCCAATATTCATACCTTTCATCTACTCCCAATTAATACATTTTGCCCCTATACTTAAAAATTTGTAAGAATTAAAGTCCTCAAAATTTTGGATTTCGCAACTTGGTCCATATAGTTTAAAGTTTGTAATGATTGAACCTTACCGAACAAAAAAAAACTCGTGAAGGTGAAAAGTGAACTTTTATTAGATCATATAATTGTGTCCCTTTAACATATAAATGCATGTGGTCCTTGAGTGATCTGTCCGTCAAAATATAAAAATATTAATATTAAATCATTCATAATAAAATAGATGACGATGACAATGAATATCCAACCACAAATGAAAATGATAGGAAAAAACTTAAATGATAAACCTTAAGTTATATTCTTCATCGGAGTCTCCATCTATCATGTCAACTGAGAGAACATATAGACAGACATGCAATATCAATAATTGTTACTACAAAACTTGTTCAATCCACCCCATTTAACACCTTAATGGATATGACTTACACGTGTTCACATAACTCATAATTTACCATTGAAGCGGTTATATTTTTTTTCCATTTAGATTTGGATTTATTTAAATATTTGAAAGATCGAAAATTGGAATGGGTTGATGGGTTGAGATTTTTTTTTTTACTATTCCACGAGACCAATTTGAAAATAGGGTTGTGAACTCTATTTGTGTTCGCTCGAGTCACAAATGTTTCGAATTTGGTTGATTTTTCCCACCCAATTCAATAGGTAACCTCGGATGAAACACCCAAAGCATGTTCAAATCTGAAAGAGGTAGTGAAGCCATAAGGGAGGAGGAGGGGGAGGGGGGACTCTCCCTGTTAAAGGACAAGTCAATTGAATCAATCCCATACAAGGACACCCTCCCCTACCCCACAAGCCTGCTTCAACCCCACCTCACTTAATTTGATTTTGGACGAAATAAAGCAGCAAGGAAGTCATCAAAAATTCAATCTTTACAGAAACCCATTAAGAACACATGCGGATCCGAGTGTGACCTCAAAATGGATATCTGCTTTGCTTTGATTGCCATCAGGAAAGCATATGCGCGCGGGACATTCCGTGGCGGCCCTGTTGCACAAAATAATAATAAAGCTTCGGCCTCTGGCCCTCTGCAT